AAGGAAGGAAGGAAGGAAGGATCAGGGAGGAAAGGTGTCGAATATACGTATAAATGCCATCCAAACTGTTAAAATCTGCTCCACGAGTCAATTTTGACTTTTAGGCTCATGAACCATTAATAAAAATCTCCTTACACTCAAATGGCTCTCAAATGCCTTGATAGCGGATTACAAACTCCTAATGGAGATACTGTATGATCAAATATTCTCTAAGCAGCGAGGTCTAGAGTATTGGGGGTGGCTGGGCCGCCTGATTATCAGCTTATCAGCAAATACTTCTTAGCGTGGGATGTGCCGAAAAGAAAGCGTCTTCCCCGGCGTGGTCCCCTGCTCTGCTTCTTCCTTTAAACAGATTTGGTGGCAACATCATATTAGGTGGGTGCAAGAAATTGCATCTTAGCCCCGCCACGGATCTGAGCTGGAAATGCCTCCTGCGTTGGGCACGTGAGCAGGGAGATGTCCCAGGGCARGGAAACGACCCTGCTCGGGCTGAGCATCCCTGGGGTGGCTCCTGCCCTCGGACACTTGCACTAGGGAGGAGAAAAAGCTGCTTTTGGCGTTTTTCCCCTGGTTTTCATGTCTCTATGTGTGCTGAGGTACCTGTCTCATGCAGCAGCCGTGCCGGGAGGCAGTGTTGCTGGCTTCAGGGGGGCTTTGAGCACAGGAATCCCCTCCGGCTGCTTTGGGGGCTTTTTCTGCTGCCCCATGGGCACCGGAGCAGCGTTTTGCAGGCAGGGAGGCAAAGGGCACCTCAAAGGGCTGGCTGAGCACGTGGGGCAGGGACCAGTGGGGTGATGGAGGAGAGGACGGAGCAGGGGACACACCTTCGGTTAGGACCAGGATGGAGCAGAGGACTGAAAACAGGAGAAAAAAAGGTCCTTTCTGCTCTGCAACCTTTCTAAGACAGCTCCTTGAGAGTCACATCCCCTCCAGGGGAGGACCCGGCTCCCCAGCGGAGCTGTCTCTCCCGGGATATCTGACCTGGGAAATCCAGGCGATTTAGGTACGAGTTTGGCCCCAGGGCCTGGGAAGGGCTGAGCAGGAGGAGCTGCGATTAAAGGGAATGYGGGAATGCGCTGGGTCGCTCAGCCCCGCGCGGGGTTGGCTCCATTCAGCGCTTTTATTAATAACGCGGAGCAGCTCAATTAGAGGGACAGATCATAATAGTGATTTTTGAAAAAGAGACATGCAGAGGGTGGGGAGCTCGGCAAAATTAGCAGGGAAATTGCACCTAGAGGCTGGATTAGGCGGGAGAAGAGGCCATTGCCCAAATAACCTTGTCCATCCTCAGGGCCAGGTTGCACAAATGGATTGGGAGAATTAGGAAAGGCTTGGAAAAGAGAAGAGAAAGAAGTTTAAGGACTGGGAAACGTGACTGGCAGAGGGATATATGTGCTTATATGTATTTCCTTAGGTATACTTGGGGAAGTTCTGCTGAGCTATTGAGAAGAAAGTCGTGATGGTGCGAGGGGATTTAGCCACTACGGGGTATTGCCTGGCCAGAGGATAGAGAAAGGATCAGTTATCTCACTGGTGAAGGCAACGCAACCTGGACGACAGAGACACATACATTTAACCCTGGAAATTGCCTTAGGATGTGGCAGACACATCCATAGGTGACACAGAAAGGCCTCGGCACCACGAGCACCGTGCTGGAGGGCAGCGTGCCCTGGGGTTTGCCCTGGCCCTGGAGCAGCCGTGTCTGTGCTGTGTTGAACAGTGCTGCTCTCAGGACCACGGGGCGCCCTGCAAGAGGGTCGAGCGGGAGCCCAGGAGGCCGGAGCAGAGCAACCCGGGTGTCTGGCACCTGGGTCTTGCAAATGCAGAAGATAGGGGCCATGCCGAGGAGGAGAAGGGAGT